CCGGCCGGGGCGGGGGCCCCCCCCCCCCCCCCCCCCCCGAGTGCACAAATTTTTGTGCACCGGGCCTCTAGTATATAGATAATATCTTCTTTTTTTTAAATATATTTTCATTGATTTCAGAGAGAAAGGGAGGAGAATAGAGAGATAGGAACATCAATGATGAGAGAGAATCATTGATTGGCTGCCTTCTGCACACCCCTCACTGGGGATCAAGCCCACAACCCAGGCATATGCACTGACTGGGAATCGAACCATGATCTCCTGGTTCATAGGTTGATGCTCAACCACTGAGCCTCACCGGCCAGGCTATAATGCCTTCTTTACAATCTCCTTTTATAAGATGTTTTTTAAAAACTTAGGCTGACATCTATAATAAACTGAATCAAATGGTCACCACCAATCTATTCTATACCCTGTCTTTCTCATTCACAAATTCTTTCTTTTCATTCATCTCCCAGTTGCTCACTGTTCCTAGGAAGATCGGGGTGTGACATCTTTTCTGAGCCCTTGCAGGTCTAGTAATGTCTTCCTGCCATGTTCAAACATAAGTGAGACCCAGGTCAGATATGGCATCCTTGACTCACTGTCATCTTCCCCTAGGAAAATACTGTGAATAAGTCTTTCCTTTGTGGGAAATCTGAGACCTTAGGCTCAAAGTGGTAGGTCAACTGATTTCTATGCAAACTTTTTATAGAAGAAAGACACAAACCCTTTGCTTGGGAATTAGATATACCCTCATCCACAAAAACTAGGGTCTGACTCAGGACCACAAAGACAAATTATCTCCCCCAACTGAAGAATGACATTATACCATTCCTTTCCATAGAGGGATGACCATCTGGCTGAGAAGATACGTTCTATTGGAGTATTAGATAATCAGAGAAAAGGGAAAGTGTGCAGGAAAGAAAGAAATCAGAGTTGGCTAGAGTAGTCAGACAGGCTCTCCAGACAGAGCCAGTGAGCTGGGCCTACAAGGGTGATAGAAGCTGAAGAAGTCATTCCAGGAGAAAGAAACAAAATAGGAACAATGGGGGGAGGGAGGGGGAATAGCGATGAGGGCAAGGTGATTTAAACTGAAAGATAAATTTTAATGAGCTCTAAAGGGTAGGTCGGAGCAGAAAGAAAAGGCTGGGTCATACAGCACTGAGCAAACAAGGGGTAAACTCTAAGCAGTTTGGGGTCAATTGAGTAAAGAAGTGATGTGAAGAGAGAAGAGTTTGCATG